TCCAATTCCTCCTGGAATTGCAAGGTTGAACTTTCCTCTTTATTAATAAAATAACTTGACCTTTATAAAATAAATCATCATTGCCTCTTTCGCTTGACCTCATACACCTCAGAACTGTACTAATTTTAGTACATCCTTATGAACTTTAGCATATCACATTGGTTCATTTATACAAAGTGTCTCCCTGCTATTAGTTCTTCATCCATATCTTTCTCCTGAGGTAGGAAGATATATGACAGCATATTTGTCCAGGTGAACCGGGTTCTGTTTGGCCATGTTTCTTGGAAAGTGTCGATATGATCTAGTTGGATAAGGTTCTGGAGTATGTGAGCTGTTGGTCTTTAGCTGTTGCTCGCTAGTCTTTTATCGATTTTTGGATTATGTAGGGCATTGAAGTCTCCTGCGATGATTATGTGCCAGTTTTTATGATGTCTGGCCCAGATTTTGTCTTGGATCCATTTTGTTACAGCGCGATGTTCTGGATTGCCCTTACTTGATATATATACCCCAACTATGCTGATATGTTTGTAGTTTTTGTAGTTGAGATCTATGCATATACTTCTTCCTTGATATGTATCAATGTTGCCAATGTGGTTTGCAATGTCTTCTTTGATTATGATCATGATTCCACCACCTTTTTTCCCGTTGCTTCATATGGTATAATAACCTTGCATTTTCCAGTATTTGGATGCATCTGATGTAACTTGTGTCTCTGTGATGATCGCAATGTCTATTCCCTCCTCCTTGCAATATGTTAATCATATTGCTCTTTTGATAAGATCATTGAATCCTCTAACGTTGTGTGTTGCTATTTTCCAGACTTTCCATGGCTGTGGCTCTGGTTTTTGTGTTTATGCATTGTTGTGTTTGTTCCTTTGTAGTGTGGGATTGTGTTATAGGTGTATTGTTGTATGTAGTGTGTTTTGTGCTTCTCTCAGTTGTTCCTGAGTTTTTGTCAAGCTTTCTTGGGTTGGAGTGTTGTTGTTATCGTTGTTGATAATGTCTGTATCTACTGTACGATTAGTATCATGTATGTTGTGTTCTTGTGACTTCTCGGGTGGTTGTATGTCTTCTTTTGGATAATTATCTATCGAACTATAAAAATTTGACAAGTTGTCAGTGATCTCATGCACCTCTGCACTGGTGCTTGGATTGTTTTCCATTAATTAAGGTTGGTCATGATGTTTGTGTCTCCTGGGATGAGATTGTGAATGGTGTTCATAAGGTTGTTCATCGTTTGATTAATATGTTGGATGGTTATATGGATCTGTTTCTGTTGTGCTTGGAGGTCTTGAATTTCGTTTCTGTTATCTGTCTGGTTTCTTTATGCTTCTTCTATGGAGCCATCATCTGTACTTTGGTCTGGGGTGTCTTCTGTTTCTTCTATAACACCCACTCCATCTTCATCGTAATATTCAAGGTTTGTAATTCTTTTGTCCATCTCTGTAAGTTGTTCTTTGATTTCTTTAATGTCTTGTTGAAGTTGTTTAAGAATGTCCACAACCTGTTGCAAGTTGCTTGGGTCTTGTGCATTTTGTACCGTATATGCTTCTGATTTTTTAAGTGCTGCTGCGTACAATCCAGGCTTGCTGTTTCTTTTTTCTTTTGTGATTGTGTCCATAGTTCTTCTGATGTTTGTTGTTTTTGCTGGCTTGAATTTCTGATATAGTTTACCGAACTTGTTTGCTTGTTCTTTGTTGTATTCCTTCTACTGTTGTTATCTTTGTTTGCTCAGACAGTCAACTGCTAGGTGCGTATGTGTGTCACATATAGCGCAGGTCTTTGTGTCAATTTGGGCCCACGTGATTTGTGTTTCACCCAGAACAAAGTCTTGTACCATTGCTTCCTCTAAGTATTGTTGGCTTTCGAAGCTGATAATTGCTACTTTTTTCCGACAGTAGCTCCCTGTTCTGGGAATGTAACAGGTTTTGGCTTTAACTTGTTGACAGATGACACGCAGGTCAAATACTGTTGTGTTTGGGGGAGATTGATTAATTTGGCGACAATATTGCCTCTGTCTTTCATTTCCTTAAGGCTCTATTGTTCATCGAAGACTCTAACTAAGTTTGCTTTGAAGGGGTGCTCCACATGTTGACTAATTTTTCCTTGGTGCTTCTTTTCTGGAATGTGACTATAGCTGTTTGTCACATGCGTTGAGTACTCATACTGATGTCGGTAACCTGTCCAAATCTAGTGAATATTTGTTATATGTCTATGAGTTTAGTATCCAAAGGGATGTCCCATACTCTGATACTGTTTTCCTTATTTGTGTAAGGATTGGTGTCGAACATGTGTTCCATAAACTTGTTTTCAAACCTGGTAATTTGATAGTGCTTGCCCTTTCTGCGGCTTGCTGATCTCCAAAAATGGCTACAATCAACTCTTCATCTTTTTTTCCCTCTTTGTGAATTGCAAGAAGGCCTTTGGGTGCTTCTAGGGCTTTGGTGATGTATTGTATTTTCTGCCAAAATGTAGTGCCAGGGACTTCTACTGCTGGGATTCCGATCTTGCTTCTTTGTCTGCCATATCTTACCATGCGATTGAATGGGGAGCGGATTCTAGGCTTATAGCTTGTTCTTTCCACCTTGCCCTTTCCTTTGTTAACCATTTGTTATTCGTTTTCATGTTACTGGTGGTCAGGGTTTTCTGGATCTGACACATACTTGTCTTCGTCGCTATCGTCAATGCGGGCATGTTCTCCAAAAAATGGTGTTTGATGTTTCTCCAAGGCTTGCTGTTCGCTGGTTTGTTATGACTTTTCATGTGTTTCTTTTTCAGAGTGGGTCTGCATACTGATGAATGTTTCTTCCATTTCTTCTTCCATTATTTGGCTCCATGTATTTTCATAACTTGTTTTGTCACATTGTGCTATTACTGTTGCTTGTTTCTGCTGGGTTGCAACCTTGGATGATGGTGTCAGGATTTGGTATATTGCTTCCGTTTCAGTTTTTCCTTGTTTTTTGCTGGGTTTTTGAACCAAGTATGGTATAGTTTCTCTGTTTTTTGTGTTGTTTCTCCCCTTAGACATGTCTCCTAGGTTGTAGTTGGACCTGACGGTCAGCTTGGAGCTTTTGAGACTTCTATTTGTACTCATTTTCCTTTCGCTTTAGTGTTTCCTTTTATGGTAACTGTATGTATTTGGGAAAGAGTGTGATGCTCTTATAATTTTTTATCATTTACCTATTGTATTTTTCTATAATATTAAACAGATTTAAACCTTAAATCTTTTCCTGATAATTTTTAAAAATTATTACTATACTATAAACTATAAGTTAATTTATTATTAAATTAATATTTAATAAGTTAATATAAAAAGTGAATAGCTTAATATTAAGCCAAAAAAAAAATTTTTTTTATTTTTATTTTTATTTTTTTCTAGCTAAAGTAAGACTTTACTCTAGTTTATTAATATATATAATTTTTTACATACAAATTACATATATAAAGTTTAAGCTATATTATTTTATATTAACTAGAATCCATCCACAGATATTATAGACCATTCAGATATAGTCTACCATCTTGCTTGCTAACCAAGCCTACCTTAGCTCTATTTGTTGGATTCTATTTTCTCCTTTTTGTTCTCTATTTAACCATTCTATTATGTATTTTTAATTTTTTTTTTCTTTTATGTCTGTTTCCCTCTGTACTCCTTTTCGTATTTTTCCTATTTCTTCTATTCTTTTTATATTTTTTTTCTTTTTTTTCTTTTTTTTCTTTTTTATTTCACTTTCCCTTTTCTATTCTCTAACTGCTTGATTCCTTTTTTTTCAGATTCTTTTTGTCTCTTGTTCTATTGTTCTATTTATTTCCTTTATTGTCTTCTCTGCTTTTTGTTTGTTTATTTCTTTAAAAATTCTTATCTATTGCTTTAATACCATTCCTTGTATATCTATGCTCAGCTAATCTTTAGATTTTCTTTTTTCATCACTTGTTGAATTTCGTTTTGTTTCTTGTTTTTCTCTTCTGTTATTAGCTTTTTATCAATATAGTGTTCTATTATTTCTATTATTCTTTGCTTCAATCTTAATATTTGTTATTTCACTAGTCTGCACTTCTATATATGTATTTGATTTTCTTTTTTTTCCCACATATTATACATTTTTCATATTTATCATATCCTTCTTGATCTCTTGTCTTTTTCTTTTCTAGTATTAGCAATTCACTATTGATTTTTTTCTTTAGCCATCTGATGCTGCTTCCTTCTTCTTCACTATTCTATAGTGTTTCTTTGTATCTTTCCCATGTTGCTTTCCAATCGATTTGCTGTCTAGTTAGGATACTTTGTATTTGCTTGTTTCTTTTTAATTTTAGCCATACTATAATATTTTTGATTTTGTTACTGATTTTTCATATTTTTTTTCATCCATTATTTTGTGTTTCTTTATCAATATTATACTTCTATTTTTATTTGTCTCTGCTTTTTCTTCTATAAAATTCAACATTTTTTTGTTATTTTTTTGTTTCCTTGTCCACTTCTTTGAAAATTTGATCTTGTTTTTCTTTGTCTATCCATTCTGCTATAAATTTAACCTTTTCTTTTTCTCTTATTGTCACACCTAGCTTTGCCAGTACTGCTTCTTTCTTATTTTGCCTTTGTAACTCTTTTTTAATCTTTCCACTTTCATTTATATATTGTTCTATTAATTTTAGATCCGTTATTATCCTTATTTCTCCTTCTATATTGATTTGTTTAATACTTGATATTATTGTTTCCAACTCTGCTTGTGTCACACTTTATATTATATTCTTCTATTTACCTCTTTTAATTTTTTTCCTGCTTTCAAAATACCTCCATACTCTTGTACTCTTCTTTTTTTTTGTTTCATGCCACATCTGTATATATTTTCTTATCATTATACTCTTCTACTCTCTTTTTTTCTTTTTGTTTTCTTAAGTTTCTCTTGATAGTGATTCTTATTTTGATGTACTGTATTTTTTTTTTTTTTTTATTTTGACTTTCTTAATTGCCAAGTACCATATCTCTACTATTTTCTTGTCAAATTGGCAAGTTTTCTTTTTCCTGTATTTGTTTAGTACATAACCTTTACATTCTCTTAGTTCTTGGTATTCTTCTTATTCTTTATAGTGCAGGATCCTTGCTTTTTCCTTGTTAATTTTTCTTTTCTTCTTTTCTACTATTATACAGTTACTCTCTTTATAGTATATCTCCATTATAGTGAATTTGACTTATTGTGAAAAAATTAAAAAAATTTTTTTTATATAATTAAATTAACTCTATAAAGTGTTTTATATATAAACTATTCGATAAATTTATTGTAGAGAAATTTTTTTTTTTTTATAGTAGAACGGGCGTTAGATGCCATTGTTTATTGATATATATACGATATCACAATTATATCAAACATCTTCTATAGTGCTAGACTACAGCTTAATGCTAACCTATTCTACTTTTAATGCCCCAGCGATGCAAGCATTACTCTTGAAGTGGGCTCATATTTTTGGGGGGACCTATCTAGAGGATGGAAATCCTATCACTAGTTTTAAACCATCCAACCTACCGTTCCAGTTTTTGATAAGCGTCATGGTTGGGATAGGTACCACTAACTACTTTTATAAGCTATCTATTACATACCACCTTTTCGCTTACAATATTATGCCGTAGAGGATGCCTTTAATGCAAGCATGTACTCCCTAGTGAATGCTCCGGTTTTAACTGCTGGTTGGCTTTAAGCTACCAAATCTAGGGGCCTTGTGGCCATGTGGAGCACGACTCCTTAACGGATCATCTCTTCCAGGTGCAGCCAGCACTCTTTATTAAGACTATGTTAATCTCCTAGTAGACATCCAGTTTCGGTCCGGTTGGCGTAGGCTGCCAAATCTAGGGGCATAAATGCCAAGCAGGGCTCAACTCCTACATGCTCTGTCTCACCACATGGCTGCCATATCTGCACATGGACATGTGTCAGTTCAGTGGTCTTCTTCAAGATATCCTTACTCGGTAGTTAATGAGGGAACTTGGCGGCTTGGGATTGGTTAAGATGGAGTACAGCCCAGTCTGTATATCCAAATGTATGAGTGGTTCTATGGCTCCTTTCGTAGACGATCATCGTGACACCATCCGGACGATCGTCACACCACTGCACCTTAACGGGAAATCACAATCTCAACGCCTGCCGGATCAGCATGTGAAACGGCTTCTCATGAGAAACAGCATATAATTGGTTACGGTGCCAGATACCATATTAATTCTATTCAACCGCCTTCACATGGGGTTGAACCGGTATCTTGTGATCTGACCTGCGGAGCATTAACCACTGTGTTATGGACCCACAGGTCTATTGTGGAGAAAATTTTTAATTAATTATAATATTTATATATAAAAAAATTCGATATAGTAAAAAAAACAGATTAATCAATTAAAAAATTTTTAAATTTTTTTTTTTTTATAAAATATTTTATAAAAATATTTTTTTTTTACATCATATTTCTTTTATTAATTTACAATAATTAAAAATATATTTAATAAATATGTTTCTTTAACTTGAACAAGATATGTAAAAAATTTTATTAAAAATTTTAATAATATTAAATAATATTTTTTATATTTTTATAAGAAAAAAGAACTATAAAAAAAAATGTGATTGTTCTAATCAACCCTGCAAGGTACAAGATCTCCAACAGCGAGCAGCCATAAGGTTGCCAAATCAGGACTAGTAGATTAGGTGGGTTTAAACTGATGGCAGGACTTCCCACCCCCTGAATAGTCCCACCTGGCATGCGGGCCCCACTTCCATAGTGGTAAGTTGATATAGCTGGGTTAAAACAGGTGGGAGGAATGGGTTAACTTAAATGGACCTTTGATGTAATGTAATTGGATATAAATAACTCAATAAAAACCAGTACGTCTAGTATCTTTCACCTTAAAAAAAAAAAAAAAAAAAAAAAGTCTATAGTTGAGTTTTTGTTTTAACAGCTTTTTAAGGATATTGGTTCTGTCTTCATTGGATAAGAAAAATATATGTTGGTATTTGAGAAAGAAGTTAAGGGTATCAAGGGAAATTGGGTTCAGGAGGGCAATTTTAATTTCAATGTAATGGTTTCCTGGTTTTTTCTTTTGAATTTCAAATGATACTGATATCACTTTATAGCTTTCTTGATTGTTTTCTTGAATGCGAACAGAAGTTAGCCATGCTTTTGGAGGGTTTATAAACTTGAGGAGTTTAGTGGTAGAAATTGATGGATGATGAATATGGCATTGCTTTTAATATTTTTATGAATGATGACTGCAAGGCACTTGTTCACATTGGTGATGAGGACATCAAGAAGGGTATGTATAGGTTTGATTACTTGATCCTTAGAGAATGCAGAGGAGCCTCCAGGATCTTTGACAGTTTTTTTTTGTAAGAAAATTTTATATTTCTTTTTATAATAATTTTCGAATGTAGAGAGATCTGGGAAAGAGTTTTTATAACAATAAATTTTTTTACTTTTTTTTTTTTATTTAAAAAAATATTTTTATAATAAAACTATTAATTAACTATTAATAAAAATTAAATATGTTTATTATTAAATTATAAAAATATATATTTAAAGTTTTATCTAAGTTAAATAATTATTTATTAAATTATAATTAAAAAATATTAGTCCAAAAACTTTTGTAACACATTATATATACCCTACCTCTCCACATGAAAGTAATACCAACTTGAATAATATATAAAATACTTCTAAAATAAAAATTAATGAACCTTATATACAAACTGAACCATACTTATCAACCATAATCAACCAATATCTTAGACTGATAAAATTGAGACTATATTTTTAACCATAGTCAATAATCAATCTGTAAAGAACATTTATAATATTAATT